TAGTCTCATGGCATTGGGCTGATCCTGACTCACGGCAACTCCATGAGATATAGAGTAGATCTACCCCATGGGATTTTCTTGGTTGCAATCATATGGAAGCAGGTTGCCAGGGCATTTCTTCCTCAGAACAATTAGGTGAGCACGAGCTGCCAACTTTTCAGTTAGGAACCAAGTGCAAACCTGGATTATCACTTCAAAACTAAGAAGAAATAATTTGAGCTAACTGAGCTCAGGACTTAGAAGCAAGGCCTTAGGGAAGCCAAAACCCCTTTCTGTAGCTTCTCCCCATCCCACCTACCACCAGCCCCTTGTATCTGGCTCAGGACTGTGTGCACAGCCACCAAACAACTTTCTGAACTTTGCAAAGTTGGGTACCAACTGTGAAATGGCTGCAGAGAAATGTAAAGTATACTACACTGGTTTTATTCAAACTGGTGTTGCAGGATGCTGGTGCCTTCCCGCATCTGAGTTGTGATTTGATTATACCTGTGATGGAGTTGTGTGTGACATTGTAGGATAATCACCAGACTACTAACTGAAAAGTCATCAGTTCAAACCCATCAGTCGTTCCTTGGGAACTCTATACAAGGTTGTTACGAGCCTGAACCAAAAGCACTTAACAACTACAACAACAACATGCCTGTGATATAAATAGTGCAAGCAATGAGCCCCAGTCCTTTGGAGTTAGGACAACATGCCATTCCTTTCTTCAGTTTATAACACATAATCCCTCTATGTATTATAACCAACCTGCCCCTATCACCACATAACACCAAATGTGTTTTTTTAAAGCTACCAAAGTGTTTACCACCTGCTGGTGGCACAGAAATAGAGCACAAATTGATGCCGGTCCCAAACCATCTCAGGAGATAATAATGTGTTTAAAAATGTCACAGCATAGCGTATTGACTAGAAGCTTCTGTCACACCACTAATGGAAACAGTATTGTTGTGAAATGTCAAGGAGTGGCTGGTGGATTTGAACCACCAGCCTTGTGGTTAGCTTGTCCTATAGCACCACACCAGGATTCCAATGGAAAGGATAACATGAAAAACCAAAATCATTAGGTAATATAAGACAATGTATATATTTGTCTTTGGAAGAATTTTTATATGTATGAAGTTACCCAGTTTCATTTTTCAATTTAAGTTT